TATATATATGTCACACATGCTTCCTGACTCACTCCGTTGCTGTTCCAGCTCTTGCACACTTTATAAACAAAGAGAAAGCTGCCGGCATTATCAAAGCTGTACCTGGAAAGCAGGCTGAGCTTATTTCTGAGACCTCCGAAGCGAACATCATGGTTGAGTGGTACAAAGATGGCAAAGCCATCCGCCACACCAGAAAGTTCACCATGGAAGACAAAGGGAAGTCGCACAAGCTCCTAGTCTCCGCTGTAACGAAAGAAGATGAGGGAACATACAAGTGCAAGGTCGGAGAGGACACGCTAGTCTTCGATTTAAAAGTCTCGGGTAAGTTCATGAGCTAACTGGGGGCAGGCTTTGTGTTGGCTATGTAGGCAGTGGATCATCGGACTCAAATGTTGCGTCCCTAAGTTATTAGCTTCGCGGCATAGGTGGCTTGCCTTGTTCGTGTATCATACCCGTCACAATAACCCCTTATTATGGTCTCCAAGCACTTCATCATAGCTAGTAAGCAACAATGGTAGTGATTGTCACCGCATCCAGGTCATTATTGAATGACTAGAATTGCCCCCAACACTTTAGGTAGGTTTAGGTCTGGTCTAGGCCTGGATCTGGTAGCTCAGTCTTGTCTGTACTGATGGCCTTAGGGACATTCACACCTGAAGAAAGACAACGAGAGTCTTGTGCTAGAGCCCAGCCACAAGAGCAGGGGCTGCAGGGACCGCCAGGACCCCTGACATGCTCATGGGAGTGGGAAATGCAGGAGAGAAAACTCAGCCTGTTGGAGAATATCTCATTTCTTGATTGAAAAGCGCTCTCCTTTATGTGAGAACAGGTGTGACTAAAGCTGCTGTGGGTGAGAACCAGGTTAAATGCGATAGAAACATGGGGGCGCAGGTAGGAACAGGAAGGGTTTTGGCAGAGCCAGATGGGAGCAGCATTAAAAAAGACATAGCCCCATTTGGGGTTTTATTTGGGGGTAGTTTCCAAGAAATCTGCCTCTCTTTTGATTCAAGTGTGAACCCTGAGGTTGACATTATATGCAAGTCTGAGAGTGTCCTGATTTCCATGGGAGGTAGGTACCTTGCACTATGCCGAAAGCCCAGTACATTCCCCGAGGCCAAATCATGGAGAGAAATTCCTGTAGCTAATAGCATGTAGCTCAGAGTACCTGGTACTTTGACATAGTAAGTATTGTTCTGTGAAATGGGGCTATTTCAGTTCCTATGAGTTACTGGGGACTTCTCTTCTGCATTGGGTTCAGTGATTTTGATCTGAGTTTCATCTTCCCCTGACTCCCGAAACCCAAACCAAAGCTCAGCGGAAACCACAGACTTTCATGTAGTCGAGGGGCAAAACTGCTGAATTTCACATTTTTTCTATGAGAAGCCAAAGGCAAGACGCTCAAGCAAGAAAACTCCCGTTGACCTTATGCTTGTGCATCTCAGTGATTCAGGCTGCTAACAAAACCCTAAATCAGATGAGTCTCGCTTGGTTTTAGATTTCACCAAAAATATTTCCTGACCACTAACCACACTTGCAAACTATAGCCTGGGATTAGGACTAGAAAATAAATTGCCATTGTGGGCATAAGGATTTTTCATATACCTGTTAATGGCAGGACTCCAGCAAGGCTGTTAGCCCATAATCAACTAATTCTTTTAAAAATAGACTGTTCCTAATAGCTTTTAGTTTGTAACAGAAATGCTTGTCCCCTGATGCAGCAGAAGCATGTGGCTGGGTGCAGTATATCTGTTGTCCTTGGGACACTTGGGGATAGAAAACAACAGGTGCTGCAGACCAAAATGCAACACTCAGCTTAGGTTGCTTATAACTGACAGCCGTCAGCTTGCTCTGCGGCGATTGAGTCCAAGGTATGAGTTGAGCATGAGATGGGAGGCTGTAACCTATGAGGTTGTTCCCAGTTTATTGGAGAGGTGCCTATGCACTCTGCTCAGTGCCACTTTAACCTTCACTGGTAACTCTGGAGAGGTTCATCGATGTTGGGAGATATGATCCATGCAACTGAAACATGGTGAGACACCTTTGCCGAAGAGGCTTTACGATCTAATTACCTTGGACCAAATTCTGCTTTCAGCTACGCCTATATATAGCCCCGCTGGAGTCAACCACATTGACCGGGCTGCCTGTACTAATGCCCTTTCCAAATTAAGTGAAATTCTGCTCTCACTTGGAGATGCACAGCTCCAGTCGACAGGAGTACTGTCCCTATCTGAGGACAAATTTCAGGAAGTAAATGGGGTAGGAACTGATCTAAATATATGGCAAACATAGTAGGACTGATTCTCTTCTCATGCCTGATTAATAAAAATACAACTTTTTGGACTTCCTAGATTGTAGTTGCTATGGTGAGGAGGCATCCCATGATGATCAGGCTACTGAATTGAATCAGGTGATTCCTACATTGAGTCCAGCAACTAGATCTCTTTCAGAAATATCCAGCTTTGATATAAAGCTTCAAGGGATCTCCATCTTACCACATCCCGAAGCGGCTGTGTTTCAACTCTTGATTATGCTTGCTATTAATTTAAAGCACAACAGAGCCATAAGGGAGTATTTAAAAGGAGAATTTTATTTTTTATTGTACTATGTTTCTGTATTGGCCGGGAAGCATGTGAAGCTTTATGCTGTACTTTTGCAGGGGAATCCAGAACAATATTCTCTCTGATTTGACCCTGCTTGGATTTGGCCTTCCTGATTCTCACTTTAGGTTTTAGGCTTAAACAGACCCCAAAACCCCAGGCCAAATTCATTGAAACTTTGGGAACAGTGGTAGCCTTAGGGTTGTTGGGGTCCTGGGCAAGCAAGTCATTTGGGGCCCCTTAGAGGCTTAATATGGATGGCCTATAAGCAAGCCAGACATTTTTTATTTCAAATTCACTTTGCCCTTCCCGTGAAACTGCAAAGAAAGTATCTTCACACAATATTGATAATACAAATATTCAGTGTAATTCATTTTTATTTTTATTCAGTGTGGGGCCCCGGGTGGTGGCCCAGCTTGCCCTCCCCTAAGGCCACTACTGCATAAATACATCCAGATTCACTTGCAGTGCAACTCGCTTTTCAGCTCACATGAAAGTGGGCCCAATTCCAGTGAAAACCTTTGTGAAACATAAGAAAACTTGCAAGAAATTTGTGTGGAGGGTTAAGTCTGTCACATCCTGAGACCCGTCACGTGTTGTGTGGTTCCAGCTAGGTCTAGGTGTAGGCTGCAAACCCAGCGAGACGCATTCATGGAGTTACATAGTGATGAATAAGTTTGTCTTTAAATGCAAACTCAACACCGCTTAAGAAGCTCAGTGCATTTTTCTGTATTTTCTATATTCTTTTACCACCCGACTTCTCAGAATCATTGCAGAAACCATAACCATGTTTATTAGTCCAAAACAAGCAAATACTATTTGTATTAAAGGAGAAGGCCTTGATTCAGCAAATGCCTACACGCGTGGGGTTGTTTACTCAGGCCAGTAGTCCCAATAGGTTCAGTGGGGCTTTGCATGCGAGTAATGCTACCCAGATGCATAAATGTTGGAGAACAGGGGCATAGCTAGGAAAATGTGGGAGAACCTCTGTACATCGGAGTCTTTTTCGGTTAGCGCGTGTGCCAGACTCTGTATATGGATAGCTGCAAGCACGCATCCATCACAGTCCAGTGGATCTCTGTGGTTGGATGTTTTTGTCCTTGGGACCTGTAGCACATCGATACGGACATTTATCATTTGAGCTTACAGAGAAATCCCACTAGTTGGCTGGTATCCTCTCTAGCCCTGGCATCATAGGAGACTGAGGCACAAGCATGTTACACGTATGATTTCTTCCCAGGGTGGAGCCTAGCCCCTACATATCAGCAGCAATGGAAGAATACCAGGGTACCACTGGATCTGACTTGCATCATTCTGGGTAATAAGGGGCATGCACTGTTTCTCCTCCTTCTTCTTTAGATGAAGCTGTTAAGTTTGTCAGGAAGCCTACAGCCACCCCCGAAATTTCCGTCCGTCCTTCTGAGAGCCTGGAGCTGGCGTGTGAAGTGTCGGTGGCAAGCGGAGCTGTGGTGTGGAGGAAGGATCACGCTGAGATGAAGCAGGACCAGAGAACGGCCATCACCGCTCAGGGAACACAGCGCAAGCTCATCGTCAAGAGCGTGACCCAGCACGACCAAGGAAGCTACACCTGCGAAACCAAGGATGACAAAGTGTCGTTCCAAGTCAAAGTCAAAGGTAAATAAAGGCATGAATGTCTAGGGCAATTAAAAATCTCCATCCTGGGTACCATATTGCACGTGAAGTATATGCTGAATCCCTCTACAGTGTTAAGCAGACAAGGTTCTTTGGGTAAATCCAATATCTTTTATTAGACCAGCTCAAATAGTTGGAAAAATTCTTCTTAACAAGTTTTCGGGTGCAACCCCCCTTGTTTAGGCCAAGGAAGTGTCTGCAGATGGTCTGTGCTCTTCCTGGTTATTCAGCCAGCTTCAGATCAGCCTCTGTTTTTCGCCCGCGCAGCTGTAGCATTCACAATTCATTGCATCTACAGTAAAATAAAAGGTGGACACAAGACCACAAAGACCTGGTGGCACAATTCAGTTTGTGAAAGTAGAGGCCGCTGCAGCATGCAACGTGAAGCCCGCAGGATTAAATATAAAATGGCAGCAGAGGTAGAGAACGAAACGAAGAAGTGCAGATTGAAGGGAAAAAACCCTCGTGCAGTGAAGCTCGGGAAAGAGATGGGGAATCAAGGAGGTAGACTGACACCGAAAGGCAGACAGCTCTCGCATCATTGGTGAAGGCATTGTCTCTGGTTCAAAGAGGAGTCTGAGGCTAGATAAGGTTGGGATCTGCAAATAGGAGAGGGTGTGTGGAGGTGTCCTGGGTTTGGTGGATTGAGAGGAGCTCAAACCAGGTCCTGCAGATCTGGTATGGAGCAACACCCGGTATGTTGTCTGAAGCAAAGAAGTATTAGGGACGTATCCCATTTGTGTGTATTCAAGGACACAGTCTGAATACTGTCCTTTGCCTGAAATCCTCCGCTGGCAAACAACAGCCTTATGCTATGGGCTGTCTGCATTGCTGCTGCAGCTCCCTTGAGAGCACCACTCAGAAGTACACCTTGCCGATCAAGACATGCTCTGCACCTGCCAAACCCAGAGATGAAGTGACAAACCTCTGCCCATGTCCCTTTGTGTCATTGTCCAGCGCATTAGAGACAGAGAGCTTGTGAACAGCAGGGACAGTGCTTCCAGGGAGGCTTCCTGTCTCATTTTCATGGTGACAAGTGGAGTAGGATGGTGGGGCCATATCCCTCAGTGGTACTCAGTGTGCCAGGACAGCAATATAGGCAATATAGCTGGATAAACTATACGGTGGGAGGGCGCCTTCTGCAAATCATTGTTGCCACCTTCCTCCATAGCCATGCCCGTGCCTTGCGGGTATCACTCTGCTGCCGTTTACCTTCCTGTGTAAGCTTCAGGCTCCTTAGCCTTAGCCTACAGGTTCCTCTGGCTGCAGATGAGTAGCCTGGGCTGCTTCCCCTGGCTTGGCCTTCATCTCAGCCTCTGGCCAGCCACAGCCTGCCTGTGTCACTGCCAGCAACCACTTCCAGCTAAAAGACTTCCAGCCCCAACTGGGTCACTGTGCTATTGCAAAAGCCTCCTCCTCACTCACTGGCTCTCAGCCCTGGAAGGACCTGACCTGGCCTGTGGCTCCCACTCCTTGCCAGCCTGAGATGGCAGGAGCATTTTTGCTTATAGGGCTGCATTGACCCCATTGCCCCAGGCTTATATCCCCTGGGCTCTTCCCCTTCTCCAGGTTTTCTCCTGACCTGCCGCAGGTCTGTCCCTCCCAGTAGCTTCCTGCTGTGTCCCTGGCCAAACTATAGCGGTTACCTTGCTGCCTACCAGGCATTTCCCTGTTGCCCTATTGGTAGCCATCTAGGCGCTTGCATCCTCTGGTCTCTGGCTGCCTACTTCCCTGCAGCTAGCCCAGCTTCAGCTGTCTTCACCTGCTTAGGGCCATA